GGGTATGTTCGTGGTTTAGAGCTTGGTCCAACTCCTTCTGTTCTATGGGGTAGTAGGTCTTCCTTAGGAAATATTGCTGCAGATGATTCTTCTAATGAGGTTATACAAAGGTTAGAACAACAGATAATCAAGTTAAAGGAGACACAAAATGATGAAATGAATATTATGAAACAAAATCAGGAGAATATGCAATCAGAATTACTCCAAATGAGACAATTAATGCGCAAATATGCTCCTAATGCATCTATGCCTCAAAGCAGCAATGGCACCTTGGGTGAACAGGTAACTCCATTTAATAAACTTTAGATATTTTAAATGAAGTTATAATCACATAAAAGTATTGTTATCTAACATGTTAATATTTATTAGATCCCCGATGCCAATAGTGGACATGAACGAGTATCACAAACATCAAGAATGCCTAGTGCTGCTGAAAATGCTCAACCTTCTCATGGTACTACTCATCTTTGTCATTCGTCACAACTGTTTGAGTTTTTCTCCTTCGATTATTATTAATTTGTTGTTGTATTTGGGCTTATAATTCATATCACATGCATTTTGTACATAGAACAGTGGAGGAGTCAATTCCCTAACTAATTCTATTACTCATCAGACTGTTTAATGCTTCAGTAGGTAGTTGTTGAGTTCAGGCTGTTTAATTCTTCAGCTGATATTTCTTAATTTGCACCACTACAGTATCTTAGTAAAGTGTGGATTGTTTTGAGTTCTGCAATTAATCTCCAAGTGTTTGAACTAAGTTTGGCTACCAGCTGTGCACCAGTCTTGTACCAGCATTCTTGAACCAGTTTGGAACTACTTTTTCAACTTTCTACTAGAGGCATTTTGCTCTAGTAATTGTGAGTTTGTTTTGTCCTACTGTGTGGGATATCCAATCTTTATTCTTGGTTTCCTTGTCTGTCCAGAGAAAGGAAATTATTATAGAGGAGGAGAAATTTGATGTACCTTAAAGCCTCCAAAATAGCCTGTGCTTCAGCTATATTATTAGTTGTATCCTCAATTGAATCTGCTTGGGTATATATGAGATCACCTATACCATCCCTTATACAAAAAGCATATGAAGCTCAACCATTGTCTCATCTACATGCCCCATCCATATTGCACTTGATCCACCCCACAGGTTGTAAGTGCCACATTACTCTAGTATACTTCAGTTTAGGGATATGGTTCAGTAACTTATTGTGTAAATCTAGCCAGTTAGCTGTAACTCCTGAGCAATTTGGCCTTCTTACCTTTACAAGCATCTTAATGGATGTTGAGATTTGGAAAATCAACATCTTAATCGACACATTTTTCCCATGCATGCCTGAGTTCAAACTGGCATTCACTGGCCTTCTCCATCATTCATTGACCACATGTACAAGTTGTTTCTCTTCTATATTAATCCTTGCTGGAGAACTAAAGTATTTCCAGATGAATTTAGCCACTAGAGATTTTAGGATCTCTACAACACCAGCATCTTGAGGTTCTGAAGTATCCCAGCCTTAACAAGTAGCCATCCAAGGGCAACCTTGCTTTCCATAACCTCCACATGAAGAAGCCGACTTTAAATGGCAACCCCTTGACCTAAATAAACTTGTAAAATTTACTTTCCCATCTTCTTTTCCTTACGCATTGCCAAGCTGACTTTACTAAGAACTTACCCACTTTTCCAGTTTCCACCATGGCTTGTCATTCAGATTGTGAGGTGAAGGTGGTGTAATAGTTTTAGTAATACGATTCGCTAAGTCATCTGGCAACAGATCTCTCAACAGATCCTCATTCCATGCCCTATTCTCCAAAACTTCATCCACATGTACTATGGATTCATCCCACCGGTGATCTGGACCTAAAGCATCATAAAGAGCTCCAAGTCCAGTCCAGTTGTCATACCAGAAGTAAGAATTGCCACTTTTTAATTGCCACCAAATCTGATGCTCAATTTGATCCCTCATTTGAAGCATTTTCTTCCATACATATGATCAAACCTTAGCTTAGTGTGAACTTTAGCTGATTATTTCTTCTCTTTGTTATTTAGCAATAAAATCTCTTAAGGAATAATGTTGATGCTTCAAGATAGAGAACTTCAGTTTACTTTTCAAATGCTTACAATAGATCATTAGCCTACCTTTCGATACGGCCACCTCACCAAACCATTCTCATAGCATATTTTCTTCAGGACACTTGCACAAACACCTAGAAGATAGATGCCAATTAGATCAAATGTTCTTGTAATATTATGTAAAAGAAACTGGAGATTGACAAACATTGTCACATCTGAGCTTACAGTTAAAAAGTAAAAATTGACGAACATAACAGTTCAAAAATAGTATGATCAATTATTCTCTGATTCTGTCCTTGTTCTCCTAAAAAAAAGAAGTAATATGGTCAAGTCCTGAAGTGTAATGTATAAACTTTGTCATTTGCTTATGAAACTGACTGTAATGTATAACTAGTGCACATAGACATTGTGACTCGGTGAGAGTCATTAACTTTTGTAGTGCAATAACAATATTCAAACAACATACTACCTCTTGAAAGTGCTTTGGTGCATATGAACATGTTAATGTGAAAAAATAGAATAAGTGGAAAAGCAAATGATATAAGAAATATCAATGCAGATCAAACTTCTGGAGTTTCTTCTGTAGCAGCCGACCCTTATGCTAAATCATCATCTTCTGTACTTTCTTCTTGGAATACTTCTAGTTCAACTCCATGTAACATTTTTAAAAATAATATCAGAAAGTGTCAGCTAGATAGGGCCTCTGTTTACTGAATTCAATTTTTGTTTTTTTGGAAGTTTCTACCCAGTTTTAGCAGCTTCTGAACAGTCTAATATTCAGCTGTTTGTGATCAATATTTGAGCAGTATTTGACAGCAATTTTCCACAGCTTGAAGCTGAAATTTCTGCACATTTGGGGCTGACCAAAAGTGTAATGACTTAGCTGAATGGGCTGATCAGAAATTTCTGCAACTCTGTTCTATTCTGCATTGTTTAAAGTTTCTAGCAAACTGGTTTGTTGAGCTATAGTTTGGGACTCATTGACTTGGTTCTTATTTAGTTGCTTCAGTTGCATGACTTAGCTGAATGGTTTAAGAGTGCTCGGACACTGCACAATTGGTTTGCTCATATGATTTCCAAATTTTCCAAAATGTTCTTAGGTTCTTCTCCTTCTGAATCTGAGTATGTCAGTGGAGTAATGAGATATCTGGCAGTGAACATTTAGCTTTCGAGTTAAGATCTTCCTTTCATGTGGTGCTCCACATGTCGTGTAAATGCCCTCATCCCGAATTCTGAATCTGTGGTCTTCTTTTAGAAATTCTAATCCATGGATTAGGAGTTTGACTTGTCGAGGTTTAGTAGCTCCTTCCAGCACTAGGAATCTATGAGAAAGAATGAAATTCATTTGCTCCTACAAAAGAAAATGCACTGGTAGCTATAAAATCTACACTGTTAGCTATAACACTAGTCTCCTATTTCAGCACTTCATGTATATACTTTATCCTTTAACACAATTATTTTATAATTTCAGGTCATACATGATGCTCGATAATTTAGCGGTTGGAAGATTTCAAAATGAGGAAAAGTTGCGGAAATCATTTGAAGACCATCATTCTGGATTACTACAATGATGGCATTGCTATTTAGTCCAAACAATATAATTTTATGTTTTAAGTTACTGTGATATTAATATTTTTGATTACTACATTCTTTTGTTTGTTAAGATTTATGAGATATATTATGTTTTTTTTAATTAATATTAATATATTTTATTATTTGGGTCATATTCTATACAAATGTAGTAACTATATATTATTAATTGTGGCCAAATTATTGCTATTATCGCTTATGACTTTTAAAGCTATTGATTAGTAGCGACAATTTAGTTAAACATATTAGCTATTAAAATGGACTCTAAAGGGCAAACTAAGATGTTTTAAGAAGGGATACTATTGCCTTTTTAATTGCAACAAAATAATTACCGTTAAAGATGCAAACTTTTAGTGACAATCATTTTGAATTTAGTGGCTATAAAAATGGATGGTAAAAAAGTATAATTAGTCGTTTGGATTGGATTTAGTAGCCATTATAATTGCCTCAAACAATTGCCGTTAGAGATGCGAACTTTTAGCGGCAATTATTTTGAAGTTAGCGGCTATAAAAATGGATGGTAAAGAAGTATAATTAGCCGTTTGTATTGGATTTAGCAGCCACTATAATTGCCGCAAACAATTGCCGTTAGAGATGCGAACCTTTAGCGGCAATTAGTTTGAATTTAGCGGCTATAAAAATAGATGCTAAAGAGGTATAGTTGGTCGTTTTTGATTGGATTTAGTAGCCATTATAATTGCCGCAAACAATTGCCATTAAAGATAATAATTTTTAGCGGAAATAAACCATACCCTTTACCAGCGTTTGCGAGAAAAGCCGCTAAAGGCTTTGCCGACCCCAACATCAGCGGCAAAACTCTAATGGCTGGTAAAAGATTTAGCGGCTATTGTTATTGCCACTAAAGTCGTTTTGTATAGCCGCTAAAGGTCTTTTTTGTAGTAGTGTAATAGCCTGCTCGGAGGATTTTCTTTGCCAAAACATACACATTCATGTCGGGTCCGCACACTCCTGCGTGTACCTCGTGCATGATCCTTCCGGCTTCTTCGGCGTCAACACATCTTAACAAATTGAAATCCGGAGTCCTTTTGTACGAGACATCACCACTCAAGAAGAAACCACTTGCGTGCCGTCTAATGGTTCTCTTTTGATCTCCACTAGCTTGCTCGGGGTTTTTTTTAGTTTTCAGAAATCTTTTGATGTCATGATACCATGGCTGAATACCTGGTTCTGCCTCAACTATATTACAGTAACTGTGCCTTTCCCTGATTTGGATTTCCAAGGGATCAATGTGGGCATTGCCTGGGTACGGCAGCATTGAGGCTAAAGTAGCAAGTGCATCGACCAGTTCATTGTGACAACAAGGGATGTAACTGAACTCTATTGATTTAAATCACCTGCTAAGATCTTCCACATGCTGCCTGTAAGGGATAATCTTGATATCTCGGCTCTCCCATTCTCCCTGAGCTTGCGGGATAATCAGATTCGAGTCCCCCATGATCAACAACTCTTCGACGTCCTGGTCAATTGCCATGTTTATACCCATAATGCAGGCTTCAAATTCGGCAGTGTTGTTTGTGGAGAAAAACCGAAGCCGGGCTGTGGCTGGGTAATGCTGTCCAGTAGGTGAGATCAAGCCTGCCCCAATTCCCACACCATTTGCATTTACCGCTCCATCAAAGAACATCTTCCAAGCGGTAGTATCCTCGGATATTGCCTCGACTGAATTTACCTCTTCATCTGGGAAGTAAGTGTTTAAAGGTTAGTACTCATCATCAACCGGGTTTTCAGCCAAATGATCGGCTAACGCCTGGGCTTTCATTGGCGTGCGAGTGACGTAGAATAGGTCAAATTCAGTGAGCAGAATCTGCCATTTTGCTAATCTCCCCGTGGGCATTGGTTTCTGGAATATGTATTTCAAAGGATCCAACCTGGTTATGAGGTAAGTGGTGTAGGCTTGCAGATAATGTCTCAACTTCTGAGCGACCCAAGTTAAGGAACAGCAGGTTCTTTCCAACAGAGTACACTTAGCTTCATAGCTGGTAAACTTCTTACTCAGATAGTAGATTGCCTGCTCTTTCTTTCCGGTTACATCATGTTGCCCGAGGACACAGCCGAAAGAATTTTCCAAGACTGTCAGGTACAAGAACAGAGGCCTCCCTGGCTCCGGTGGGACCAAGACTGGTGGATTTGACAGATATTCCTTGATCTTATCAAAAGCTTCTTGACATTCATTCGTCCACTTGATTGCCGCATCTTTCTTCAGCAATTTGAATATGGGTTCACACGTGGATGTCAACTGAGCAATGAACCGACTGATATAGTTTAATCTTCCAAACAAGCTCATCACATCTTTCTTGGTTTTCGGAGGAGGCAAATCCCGGATAGATTTTATTTTTGTTGGATCTAACTCAATACCTCTCCGGCTAACTATAAAGCCCAAAAGTTTGCCCGATGGGACTCCAAATGCACATTTGGCTGGGTTCAGCTTCAAATCATATTTGCACAACCGCTCAAAGAATTTTCTCAGGTCTCGAACATGGTCATCCTGGGTTTTGGACTTGATGATTACGTCGTCCACATACACCTTTTTCTCTTGATGCATCATATCATGGAAAATGGCGGTTATGGCACTCATGTAGGTTGCCCCAGCATTCTTCAGACCAAACGACATGACTCTGTAACAGTATGTACCCCAAGGTGTGGTAAAAGCTGTCTTTTCCGCATCTTCTTCATCCATCAACACCTGGTGATATCCTGCATAACAATCCACGAAAGATTGCATCTCATATTTGGCGCAGTTGTCAACAAGGATGTGGATGTTTTGCAAAGGGAAGTTATCTTTGGGACTTGCCTTGTTTAAATCTCTGTAATCCACACACACTCGGGTCTTCCCGTCTTTCTTCTGTACTGGAACTACATTGGCTAGCCATGTGGTATACCGGACCACTCGGATCACCCCTGCTTTCAACTGTTTCGTGACTTCTTCTTTGATCTTGTCACTGATGTCAGTTTTAAACTTTCTTTGCTTTTGCTGGACAGGGGGATATTCGGGGTAAGTCGGCAACTAATAAACCACCAAATCGACACTCAGTCCTGGCATGTCATCATATGACCAAGCAAACACATCTCTGAACTCAAACAGGAGTTGGATTAATGCATCTCGGGTTTTTCCATCTGTGTGAATGCTTATCTTGGTTTCCCTGATTTCTTCAGAACTTCCTAAGTTAACTAGCTCAGTATCATTTAGGTTCGGCTTAGGTTTATTCTCAAATTGTTCCAATTCTTGATTTATTTCCCTAAAAGCCTCTTCTTCATCATATTTCGTTTCTTGGTTCAATATTTCACAGTTAGACAGCGTGTTTGGATCTGGGCATGAAGTCCGCAAGCATGCATGTTATTTAAAGCCGCATTATTAGAACTGAAATAAAAAATAAAAAATAACAAAAATCAGAAGGAATAAAGCAAGATGGACGATGAAATATTGATTTCATTTCATTGAATTTGGAAGATAACAGGGTTTACATTTGAAATTAAAAGGCACGAAACTAAAGAAAACATCCGAGTTACACCCTGGGATAACTCGGGATGAAAAAAGGGTGACAGGACAAGTCTACCGGGACTCCCGCCTGATTGGGAATGGCGTAGCCTTCCAATTTTGCAGTTTTGCCTCAGGTCCCATGTATAGCACCTCAGCGGTGCTTGAGCCTTCCCCCGGCTCGACCAAGTAGGTTTCATATAATATCTTCCTCATTGCCCCACAGATCTCTTCAATCTCTTCGGCTGTAAAAACCTCATCCTCTTCTTCTTCATTGTATTTGGGCTTGACAAATGTTTTGTATAGATGCGGCACCGGTTGAGGCAAAACCCAACCATCATTCTTTCTATCATCTGCCCATATCACATCAGCTGGAGTGGGTCGGAAGCCTACCCCAAAGAATTTTTCACTGGAGGTCAGGGTGATAGGCTCAGCTATTCCTTGCAGTGATTTCCCAAGCCCCTTCCTAGGTTTGAAGCCATGCCCGATCATCCCTTTGGCCACCATGATGGATGCGTTAGAAAGGAAGGGTTGGGGGCAAGGGTTTCCCTCTTCGTACTGGTCTGCGACCACAATTTCAAAGGCCTAATAAACTATGTGCTCACTCCCCTCTCTTGCTTCAAGACACGGGACTGACGGGTCCTGATAAATTGATTGCTCATCTTCCCCATCGACCACAATCTCTTGATCCTCATGCTCGAACTTCACCAGCTGGTGGAGAGTAGAAGGTACAGCCCCCGCTGTATGAATCCACGGCCTCCCCAAAAGAAAGTTGTAAGAAGTGTCCATGTCCAAAACCTGGAAGGTTACTTCGAAGTCTACTGGGCCGATGGTTAGGATCAGATCAATCTCTCCAATTGTGTCCCTTTTGACACCATCGAAAGCACGTACGCAGACATTGTTAGGTCGGATTCTCTCGATCCCAATTTCCATACGCTGCAGAGTTGAGAGTGGGCAAATGTCTACCCCAGAGCCTCCATCCAACATAACCCTTTTCACGTAGTACCCTTCGCATTTGACTGTCAGGTGCAGGGCTTTGCTGTGTGAGGCCCCTTCTGGGGGCAAATCATTTTTGCTGAAGGAGATCTGGTTGACTGCAAAATATCATTCTGCGATTCTCTCCAACTACTCTACAGTGGTCTCAGCAGGCACATATGCTTCGTTAAGGGTCTTGATCAATACCTTTTGATGTTCAGTGGAGTTCATCAACAGAGATAACAAGGAGACTTGTGCGGGAGATTTTCGAAGCTGGTCGATCACCTCATAATCCGCCATTTTCATCTTTTGAAAGAAGGCTTCCGCTTCTTCGGCACTCACGTGCTTCTTAGATGGGAAGAGCTTTCTAGTGGCATTGTTCACCTCTTCCAAATTGAAATACTTTTCAGCCGGGTTATTTTCTTGAACTCCTCCTGAGATTTCTTTGCCTTTGTACTGTGAGCACGTGATTTTTGCCCTATGTGAATTACTCCCAGAAATTCAAACAAAATGATTTCTTTCATTATTTTGCAATTTGGTGGAATTTTGTGACATGTTGTAGTAATTGTTTGCATTTNTTTGTTACTATGATAATTACTATATTAAAAAATAACTAAAAAATAATGCATTTGCATTTAGGAGTTTAATTTCACATTTTTTAGGTATTAATTTGTTTTAGAACGAAACATGAAAATCACAAAAATAGTTCACTTTTGCATGTTATTGTTTAATTGAAAAATGGGCACAAAAATAGTTTTAAAGTAATTTTAGGCATTAATTAGTTTAGCTTAATTTTCATTTTTATTTTTTGCATCTTTATAAAATCAGAATAACACAAAAATACAAGGTAAAAAAAAATAATAAATCCAAAAAAAAGGAAAGGGAAAATTAGATAAAAGAAATAAAAGAAAAAACAATCTAAGAGAGGGTGCTTTAATAATACTCAGTTTTGGGCCGTTTGGTTACATTTTTACCCAGCCCAAAAGAATCCCAATCACCCCAAAAAACCCNTTTATCAAAAGCTTCTTGACATTCATCTGTCCACTTGACTGCCGCATCTTTCTTCAGCAATTTGAATATGGGTTTACATGTGGATGTCAACTGGGCAATGAACCGGCTGATGTAGTTCAATCTACCCAACAAACTCATCACATATTTCTTGGTTTTCGGAGGAGGCAAATCTCGGATAGATTTTATCTTTGTTGGATCTAACTCAATACCTCTCCGGCTAACTATAAATCCTAAAAGTTTGCCTGATGGGACTCCAAATGCACATTTGGCTAGGTTCAGCTTCAAATCATATCTACACAACCGCTCAAAGAATTTTCTCAGGTCCCGAACGTGATCGTCATGGGTTTTGGATTTGATAATCACGTCATCCACATACACCTCTATCTCTTGGTGCATCACATCATGGAAAATGGCGGTCATGGCCCTCTTGTAGGTTGCCCCTGCATTCTTCAGACCAAATGGCATGACTCTGTAACAGTATGTACCCCAAGGTATGGTAAAAGTTGTTTTCTCTGCGTCTTCTTCATCCATCAACACCTGGTGATATCCTGCGTAACAATCCACGAAGGACTGTATCTCATATTTGGCGCAGTTATCAACAAGGATGTCGATGTTTGGCAAAGGGAAATTATCTTTGGGGCTTGCCTTGTTTAAATCTCTGTAATCCACACACACTCGGGTCTTCTCATCTTTCTTCGATACTGGAACTCCATTGGCTAGCCACGTGGTGTACCGGACCACTCGGATCACCCCTACTTTCAACTGTTTCGTGACTTCTTCTTTGATTTTATCACTGATGTCAGTTTTAAAGTTTCTCTGCTTTTGCTGGACAGGGGGGTAATCGGGGTAAGTCGGCAACTTATGAACCACCAAATCGACACTCAGTCCTGGCATGTCGTCATATGACCAAGCAAACACATCTTTGAACTCAAACAAGAGTTGCATTAATGCATCCCGGGTTTTCTCATCCGTGTGAATGCTTATCTTGGTTTCCCTGATTTCTTCAGAACTTCCCAAGTTATCCGGCTCAGTATCATTTAGGTTTGGCTTAGGTTTATTCTTAAATTGTTCCAATTCTCGATTTATTTCCTTAAAAGCCTCTTCTTCATCGTATTCCGGTTCTTGGTTCATTATTTCACAGTTAGACAACATGTTTGGATCTGGGCATGACGTCCGCAAGCATGTTAAGTTGTTTAAAGCCGCATTATTAGGACTGAAAGAAGAAGAAAAATAAAATAACAAAAATCAGAAGGAATAAAGAAAGATGGACGATGAAATATTGATTTCATTTCATTGAATTTGAAAGATAATAGGGTTTACATTGGAAATTAAAAGACATGAAACTAAAGAAAACACCCGAGTTACACCCTAGAATAACTCGTGGTGAAGAAAAAGTGGCAGGACAAGTCTACCGGGACTCCCGCCTGATTGGGAATGGCGTAGCCTTCCAATTTTGCCTCAGGTCCCATGTATAACACCTCAGCGGTGCTTGAGCCCTCCCCGGCTGGATCATGTGGGTTTCATATAGTATCTTCCTCATTGCCCCACAGATCTCTTCAATCTCTTCGGCTGTAAAAGCCTCATCCTCCTCCTCTTCATTGTATTTCGGCTTGACAAATGTTCTGTACAGATGCGGCACTGGCTGTGGCAAAACCCATCCATCATTCTTTCTGTCGTCTGCCCATTTTATATCAGCTGGTGTGGGTCTGAAGCCTACTCCAATGAACTTCTCAGTGGCAGGCAAGGTAATGGGTTCAGCTATTCCTTGCAAAGATTTCCCAAGTTCCTTCCCCGATTTGAAGCCATGTCGGATCATTTCTTTGGCCACCATGATGGATGCATTAGAAAGGAATGGTTGGGGGCAAGGGTTTCCTTCTTCGTACTAGTCTGCAACCACAATTTCAAAGGCCTGATAAACTATGTGCTCACTCCCTTCTCTTGCTTCAAGACATGGGACTGATGGGTCCCGATAAATTGATTGCTCATCTTCCCCGTGGACCATGATCTCTTGATCCTCATGCTCGAACTTTACCATCTGATGAAGAGTAGAGGGCACAGCCCCCGCTGCATGGATCCATGGCCTCCCCAAAAGAAAATTGTAGGATGTGTCCATGTCTAGAACCTGGAAGGTTACTTCAAAGTCTACTGGGCCGATGGTCAGAATTAGATCGATCTCTCCAATTGTGTCCCTTTTGATGCCATCGAAGGCACGTACACAGACATTGTTGGGTCAAATTCTTTTGGTCCCGATTTCCATACGCTGCAGAGTTGAGAGTGGGCAGATGTCTACCCAGAGCCTCCGTCCACCATAACCCTTTTCACGTAGTACCCTTCGCATTTGTCTGTTAGGTGTAGGGCTTCGTTATGTGCTGCCCCTTCTAGGGGAAAATCATTTTTGCTGAAGGAGATCTGGTTAATTGCGAAAAATCTTTCTGCCATTCTCTCCAACTGGTCTACAGTGGTCTCAGCAGGCACATATGCTTCGTTAAGGGTCTTGATCAATACCTTTTGATGTTCGGTGGAGTTCATTAACAGAGATAGCAAGGAGACTTGTTCGGGAGACTTTCGAAGCTGGTCGATCACCTCATAATCCGCTATTTACATCTTTTGAAAGAAGGCTTCTGCTTCTTCGGCACTTACGGGCTTCTTAGATGGGAAGCGCTTGCTTTCTAGTGGCATTATTCACCTCTTCCAAATTGAAATACTTTTCAGCCGGGTTATTTTCTTGAACTCTCCTGAGATTTCTTTNTTTGGTGTTTAATTTGCTGCTAGTCATTCCTGGGTTTGCTGTGGTATTTTTGGATTTGAAAGTGAACTAGCTGCTTTGAATTTGGGCTGTTGTTCGTTACTGCTTTAGCTGACTTCCCCCTTCTTCACTTTTGTTCTAATTTCCAGGTATATTCTTAGGCTCAAGTGATGTGGAAGCTTGTATTAACCTGCATGAACATAATCTGCTGTTGTTGTTTAGGAAATCCAGTTTAAGTACACGCATTTGACCTCACAAGTGATGTACTCTTCCATTGAAATGAAATGAAGTGATGATTCAAGGCTGTGCTCATTGTGAATGTTATGGATGTGATTAGTTTAGAACTATGTAATGGTATAATTTCAGTGCATGTGATACGTTAAAACTTGGACTGTTTGACTCAGTATGATTCCTGCTATCTGAACTCGTATATGAATTTTATAGACTGTTAAGTTGGCTCAGTCAGATTAGTGATGTTAAATTGATTCAATGTGTTGTTAGTATAGCATAGGATAATGTGAGGTAGCTTCCTTTGTTAGTAGTGTTTAAAAAATTAACCCATGTTTCAGTGTTAACTTCAATTCTGTTTTAATCAGGGGAACATGAGACTGGTTTATTTTAGCTGAAATAGCAATTAGTTTGTTACTACCATCGAATCTCAAGCAAAGCCTAAGTAATTGCCTAATTGGGTGATGGGGCTGGGACGTTTGGATTTTCATCCAGGCACAATTCGCTGTCTCTGCCTAGGCTCGATCTGGGAGCCATGTTTATCAGC